CCCCCCCCCCCCCTTCCCCCCGCCCGCCGCGTTTTGTGTCTAGCTTCGTCTTCCTATACTTCGATAAATTATAGTTTCTTAACTTCTTTAAGAAATCCAAATTCAATACCGAATTATAATTACAACTGGGCAGTTTCTCATGCATTGATTTTTCTCAAGCTTATATGTAATGGTTTGTGACAATTCATAAAAATAATAATATTGTATGTGCCTTGTCTAAGACTGTTTTGAAAACAACCACCTGTGAAGGCCATTTCTACGCAAAAGCATTGCTCCCCATTCTAAAGCAGAGACCCTGTGTGTCCTCCAAAGCACCAACAAAAGACTACTTGAAAGGACTCCGATACTCAAGGAGACACAGTGCTTTCAATCTTGTAATTTGATGGTCCTTGCCGGCTTTCCCCGTTATAGCAACAAATTAAATTAATAGCGGTATATAAATTCAAACCAAGAATGAGGCATGAGGATGCATGGGAATCACTTGGCAAATATTAGAGCGGGGAAGACATTTGGTTCTTTGTTTCTAACTTACCTTCGAGAGAACTGCACTTTGAATCCTTCGACAAATCTGCACAGATTAATTGCACCTCTTGAATTACATGCAGGTTCTTTCACTAACACTGTTTAAAGTAGTAATGTTTTTCTTAATTTATATCTCGAATTAAATTGTTTTGACTTACATTTTTTTTTTAATTGTACAAGCCCTCATTTAAATTATCCAATACTAAAATAACTTGTGTGCTAATACTTGTGAAATATCTTTTTTATAAATATAAAAACTCTTGTGTGCCTAAATAAATATATTTTTTATATACTTAAATAAATATTTTTTTAAAAATACAATAATATTATAGAAAAATACTTTAAAAATTATATACAATAAAAAATAAAAATTATGAATTTTTATCTTAAATAATTCATGGTATATTTAATAGTTAAAGATCCGAATAATGAGTGTCTTATGCCACATGTTAAGAGTCGTTAAGAGTTATTTATTGCTTTTAATTAATCGCAATATTTTTTTTAGAATTTATTATAAATATTTTTTTAAAATTACTCTATAAAATAGAACTTATTTAATATATTTAATAAATATCATTGATTTTTATTTAAATATTTTATTTTTAACCCTATTTTGACATAAATTAACAATACATAAAGTTTAATAAAAACCACACGTTAGCTTTTCCCATCATTTAAAGAATAAAATTTGAAAAGATTAAACTTGTATGAATTTAAAAGAATTCTAAATTAAGTATTTTCACCTATTTTTGATGGGTGAAAATCAAACCCAGGTTGTAATTTATTTTGTAATAAAAAACTTGTTTTTAACATTTTTTTTGTTTAGGAATTAAGGTCGTAATTGAGAAATCAAAATTATTTAGAGATAGAATTGATACAAATATTTGTCTGGGAGAATGATTGTTACTGGCCCAGTCGCTGGGGGGCTTTTTTTGAGGGTTGCCCTCACTTATTTTCGAGGAGGCCTGGATTGTGGCGAACTCGAATGAACCGACCGAAATGGAACTACAACTTAAAACCATCAGCAGCTTTAGTTTAAAAGCGCCGTTACCCACCGCTTGCTTCTTCTTTCCTTGATTTCTCCTTCCTAATTTCTCTGCCCAAATAAAAAGCACACCAACAAAGACAGCAAGACAGTTCTTTGTTATTTGGAAAAACATGCCACAAGGTTCCCCTTCTTCTTCTTTTGGTTTTTGTTTTTTTTGTTTTTGTTTTTTTATTAATAAGACTAGTAATAAAATTTGTTCGCAGAACTTCCGGGGTTTTATTATGATAAAGAGAAGAACAGGTATTTTCCTCTCAAAGGCCCAATTCCGGGTTCCTCTCGCTCTTCTTCTTCTTCAAACAATGCTAAAAAACCATCTACAAACAATACCCAGGTCAGTATTTCTTGTATTTATTTTAGTGTATGATTTATTGGGTTTCAAGTGCTTTCATTAAAGATGTCAATTCCGTGTTAATTGGTGATGGATGCTTAGGATTGTTAACAATGGCTTTAATCTGCGTCTGAAATAAAGTTTTGAACTTTTTGGTTTTTGTTTAAAGTTGTTCAGGGGTGATTACTTTAAATAATGTAATATGTGTTGCAATGTGTCTAAAAGGATGCTCCTGCATTAGCTTTCTTTTCATTTTCTAATCTTTTTTGGAAAAGGTAGAACTTGGAAGTCCAGGGCTCGCTCCCTCTTCTTGCTTTGCGGAAGTAGCATACTGGGCAAAATGCCCATTAGTCATACGCGATCAAAATTGGTTGTCTTTTAATCCACGAGTATTGTGAGATAAACTAAAATCATTTACTTTATTTATGCTGTTCTCGCTTCTTCTTCTTGTCATAGGTGATCAAAATTGGTTTCCGCATATTTGTCACTTTCCATGATTCCTGTTCATAACACTGGCACTTTCCCATAGTTAGGGGCTTCATTCATCATTTATTTGCTCTTCATGTATGCTTTTTGTATGAAATGCTATTTCTGGTTTTGGAAGAACCTGTCTTTACTTTGTAAATTTGAAATTCTCTATGAAGATAACAAAGTTTGTGATCTTTCAGTTTTAGAGCTTGAATTGTTTCTCAATAATAAAATGGTGTGGCATACAACCGAATAATGAAAGTAAAATTGTGTGGCGAATGATAGAATTCTCCATCATTTTATATTGTATGTTTTCATATACATATAGATTGGAAGGAAAAAAAATGATAGTGGTGTGTGTAACTTAACTAATCTTGAGTGTTCCACCTATAATGATGTAAAATTATTTAGGCATTCCAGTAAGTCAAGATTATTGCTGTGGCTGTTTTAAATCTGTCTATAAATAATGATCTTTTCCTTTTCCTTAAATTTGTTCTAATGAGAATATTTTATGCTAACTTATAATAAATTAGATATGCATCTTAAGTTACTCAATATTTACAAGCAACTGTATGTTTCGCCTTTTCCTTCTCTGTTGATGGGTATGTTCCCAATATTGTAACTTATCCTTGGTTGTTTCTTTTCTTTAACTTCTTTCAATGCTGCAGGAATCCAACTTCTTTAGGAGAACTGGAGTAAGAATATCCCAACTGCTTCAGGGTAGGGAGTTGAATGGTAATGTAATAACTTCCCGCAAAGGGAAGTGTGACTTCGTGGAGGAATTCCTAAAGATACAAGCATCCCAACCAGTGGTATGCTGATAAAATATGGGCTTGTAATTTTGAATGCAATTTTTTTCAGATTTATTCTGTTGATTACAGCAGCATGAACAAGACGCACTTCTGTACTGTTAAAGTAGAACTTTCTTATTATTTTTAAACTACTTATAAAAGCCTCTTAAATGAACAAATTATTAGAACCATAAATTTATTGCATAAGTTTTGAAGCTCAAATTGAAGAGCAGGACACTTTGGTGTTGGATGAGATTTGAAGAGCAGTGTGTGTCTTTAGATGAATCAGTGAATGTTTTAATCCCTTGAAGAGTGAATGTAAGTGACTTTAGTCAGTGAAGGGCAAAGACATGCATTGTTTAACTGAGGTGAATTCCATTCATTCTTTCCGTTGTTGTAACCATTGGAAATATACTCAAAATGACATCTCAAAATTATTAAAATGCAATGTAATCTTGCCATTTATTCCTATCTATTATGACGACTTTTTTCACTGATTTGAAGCAAATTGCTGTCAATTTTTGATATGTCAATTAACATTTCAAGATCTTGCTGGATTTTCAAAAACCTTTATGGATTTCAGAGTGAATTTCTGTGTTATTGCTTTCTCTCATTAGAGATTGCCCAAATTTATTGTTGTTTCATAATTTTATTTATGTTGAAGGTTTGGAAGTACCGATCAACTGAAAAGATAGCCGATAGTGCCATGGACCAAATACATATTGATATTCACACAGCAGAAGGTCAAACTGAAGCAAATGTTTTAATAACAGGCGGTGTAAATGGCTCTTTAAGGTATAATTGATGCTTGTAATTTGATTTGCTATTTTCCAGCATCCTGCTACTGACATTTGCATGAAGCTCAAAACAGTTTTAGTGCTTGAGGTGATGAAGAAACAATTACATGCTTCCTAGCAGATTAACTTGTAAACTATGATGTTAAGCCCTAGATAGTAGTGGAATTTCATTAGTTAACCTGGTATATAATAATTAGCATTGTTATGTGGAAGTCTGTGTCTTGTAAGCATGTTGTATAATTGCTTGGTGACATTTTATCTTCAACATAAACCTTCTTGCAAAATTTGCATTTCACTTCAGAGCGAATCAGATAAAGTGTAAAGATTTGAGTACCTGCATAGGAATTAGTGTTACTATATTTGATAGTATCATTTAACCATTTTCTTGTCTGGAAATATTTTCATGGTTTTCTTGAAGAGTATCTTTTCATGGTGATACTGGAGCTTTGATATGTTTGTGATTATATAGGTGTTTGATTTGCCACAATGTATCTAGGTCTGTACTTTTCTTTCCTAATATTTGGCATTATTAACATATGACCGTTAGGTTCTTAAAGAGGTCTTTTTTCTTTAATTAAAAAAAAAAAGAACAAAGATGCCCCACCATTAGAGAGTATGGCAGAACTTTCACCAAAATATGCTTCTAGCTTGACTGTGTTAGCACCTAACTATTTTTTGTGTGCCTTTGTATGTCCTGCAGAAAAGTATCACTCTTTGCCACAGCTTCCTTTGTGCAATCAAAAGATCCTTTCGTTTTTCTCTGCTAAGTTCAGTAGCAATGTTGACTTACTGTTTAGTATTGAGATAACTATGTGCTTTTGTGATTTGCTTTTCTTATTATTATGCTGTTCTTCCGCATCTTTTGTCATTTTATTGTGACTAT